ACTTAAATATGCCACAATGTAACAGTCAGGACTCATGATTTTAAATATTGCAATGATCTTATTTGAAGCTGCACTAACCAGATGAACATTTTAATGTTGAAATTTAAAGCAATGACAAGTAAATGAATGAAAAAAAATCATATACAAAATGACTTAAAAGGAATACATACCAAAATCATATACTTTGTCATTCTTGCACTAGGTTTTGATATGACATGCCTAATTTATGAGGTAACAAGTACAAATGTTTTATTGTTCTCTAAAAATTTAAGACTGCATGGAAAAATGTGAAAAAAGTAAGGTACACAAAAGAGATTAAGAGCCATGTGGTATCAAAGGCTCAGTGATGCCAGTATCATGTTACGTAGTAGCGTGTCACTCTAACGGAATAAAGTCATTTGTCCAAACCGCTGTTTGTTACTATTTTACTATTTTTGTGATTATTTTAAGCAGAAAGATATTGCAGTGTCTGTTGAGCCAAAATCGGGGCTGGTCAAAGCAGATGCTAGCAGCGAACAAGAATATGTATACTAAATCGAGGAAAAGCAATGACCTACTTTCCTGACTGAACAGCACCGCAGTCCCATTTCTTGGAATGTGACCCTTACTCATGGTGCAAAATTAGCACCAACAAAGGTAGCACATTCAGAACACTGAATAAAAGACTAACAACATCCACCACAACCCTGGCAATGAAGCCCCACCACAACACACCAAAATAGAACAAACAAGTGGAAACATGGATACCCACAATGCACCTTGCCTGCTGATTGTTCCGACAGGGGGCGGGGTCATGACAATAAGTTTGCTTTTTTTCCTGCATCTCAGGAGTGACATGTATGTGACAGGTCTATCACTTTTTAGAAAAAAAAAACTATTTACATTAAGTGAAGTCGAGAAAGACTATTTAATGTTCATACAAACATGTATTTCTGTCAGGAAATTTCAGGAGATACATTGTTGACAATCCTGTTGAGATGCACTTCCAATAAAGTGAGTATTGGTTTTATGTTGAGGCAGTGGGGAGTGTTATGGGCAACTTCTGAAAGTAACTAATAAAGTAACTTGTGAGGTAACTTAGTTACTTTGAAAACAAAGTAATCAGTAAAGTAACGTTACTTTTGGGAGGAGTAATAGGTAGTCAGTAATCAGATTACTATTTCAAGGTAACTGTGTCATCACTGAAAAGGATGAACTAAATAAGTTTATTTTAAAGTTGCAGTATGTAGTTTCCTGGCACTAGGGGGCAGTACATACACTTCAGGGCAGTTTTACACCATATCACTCTGTCGCTAGTTTAAAAAACATTACGGTAAATGTTGTTACCTGTGGAGCAGAAAGCATGCAACCTCGGCGTTACTCCTCAGACTTTGATGTTCCTTCAGTTAAGTCCATCAAGAGAATGCAGTGCCGATTGTAGTTTTCTGTGATCTGCTCGGGATCCTGTGCCTGCCGATGATGTCATCATACTACATACTACAGCAATACCGCTCAGCCAAAATGTATTGCATCTCTTTTTCGATTCTGTTCTTTCATGGTGACGTAACTTCAGGAAGTCGTGCATCCAGCCTATCACCTAGTGTGACATCATCAACATGCACAGGACCCCGAGCCAACCAGAAGCAAACATGGCGTCTAATATGGTGTCCCCCCAAATATGCTAGATCTGTTCCCTATGTATTTTGTGGTCCCTATGATTTTTATGGTTACATGGTACGAAGCTGCCAATATTTTTCAACAACGATGGATATTTCCAGAGATTAACAGTAAAAACACACATTGTCTCTTTAACTCTAATGTTCCTTTAATCTGTTAAACAAAGAGCTAAACTGAAGACTACATACTTAATTCAGAAGCGTCTTTCTAAAGCTCGCATATTTATTATATAACCTCAATCCCAGGTCCAACACCGGCCCAAAAAAATCAGGCGTATGTATGATTCTTTGAGTAAGGACTAAATATAATGCCATGCTTATCTATCATTTATGAACTACATACTGTATGTGACAGTGTGTTCATTTACATCACTGCTAGTGTGTTTCTGTGTGTGTGAGAACAATTGACCAAGTATGACACTTCCCTTATTTAAGCTGGTGGAAAATGTGCGGGAGGGAATTTCCATCACCGAGCCATAAATAACAGAGAAAACTCAATTCCATCACCTTCCACCACGCTGTCATAGGAACACATCTCACGCTGTCGCCTCACAATATCCACACTGTCCTTGTAGTATCACATTATCCTCCCACTTCCCTCCCCCTCTCCTCTGTCCCTCTCATCCCTCCCTTTTCTAAAACAAAGCTGGAGGCGGTTTGATTATTCTAATCCAGTTGCAGCTAATTAGGATAGGTCAGGTGGTACACTCAAACGGCATTCATCCCACTCCCTGCTCTTCCTGCACCCCCCGCCTCCCCGTCCATTTGCTCGGACAGCCCTATCAGTGGGTAACATCTCCCTACAGCACTACCGCCTGTATGTTCATGATAGCGGCCGTGGCAGTCATCTCCACAGAGGCGAGCGATGTGCTGCCAGCCTCTCCAGCAGATAGAGACAAGACCGTATTAATGTCTGCTGCAGGCGTGTTGGAGCATCAATTAATCGCTGTTTGAAACTGGCAAAAATGCATTTAATATACTTAAGCTTAATTAATACATTGCTACCAATTTTACAAGACTAATCAATCAATTTGAGACTGATCTGTGGTGCTAAGATATCCAGATTATGCTATGTGGAGGCGAATTACACATTTTTTTTGTTTTTTAACTAAATACGTTACTCATGAGAGAATAAATCCAGGAAGTTAGGAGGAAGAAAATTAGGAACACAAAGAAAAATGAGTGTACACAATACGTTACAAGTTAGGAGCATTAAAGCTAAGAACTGAGGCTGAGGTGAGGACTGATTGGGACTTGAACTACATGCTTTGTGCACTTGTAGTTCTGGTTGTACTGAAGCAGTGAAAGAGGCCACAGTGTGCTGGCAGGAAAGCAGAGAGCTACAGAGTAATTGGGAGGGCTTTGCTTAGAGCAACACAGAGGACTTAAGATAGGATAAAGAAAGGAAGGTGGGGGAAGGGGGTGGTGGTAAGGAAAGACCCATGAACTAGATGCTAAGTGCTGAGATGTAAAGCAAATAAGCCTGTAAGAAAATAACCTCTGGGACACTGAGCACTGACCAGTGACAAGCCTCATTTTCTGTTCTCCCCTGAGAAAATAGACCTGAGAGTGTTTCGATGTACAAGCCCGTGTCAGGCTGCCAGGTTCATCTAAAGATAGCTTTACCTAACTGCAGAGCAGCGCTTTAAGCCATTCTTCCATTAACAGCTCATGTTGCCATTTCCTGTTTTAATATTTGTTTTTAGCAAAGCTCATTAAACGGTTAGCGCAGTTCCTTTACCTGTTCAACTCAGACAATGTAGCAAGAAGGAGAAACGTTGAGAATAGTAGCCCAAAAAAGCACATTTCGTCATATTTGAGCTTGCACAGGACATTTTGACAAGATTTTAAATCTTCTCGTGTAAAATCCACGTTGAGCACTCAGCTGGTTTTTGTAAAGGTTAATAAAAGGTTCAGTAACAGAATAATGCTCTCATCATCACTACTTTTGCAACACGTCTCAGCCTACTGCCTCCGTCCTCCCCCACAGCGCTGCTAAACCCGTATGTTATTGGCTAAACACAGGCAGCTGCAGTCAGTTAACTGTCTAATCTCACATTAGTTGGTTTCCCCAAACAGAGAGAGGTGCAAGTGGAGCAAAAGTCATTCGGCGGGTGTAAAAACAACAATGAAAAAAAAGGACACTTTTTCCACTGAGATGCAACCACTTTCAGACTTTTGTGTCCGAAGGTTTTTACCGGTTGCGCTCAAGGACCACACATGGAGAAGTGGATGGTATTCCGGCTGTAGTTGGCACTAGAGCCAAAAGAAGGAGCAACTATCCAATCGCATTATTGTACCGGGGCAGTTGTTGCCCACTGCCCAACACACTCATCGTCCCCCTTGTTGTTCACTAAGTGATCCTCTTGGTCCCTCACGGACAATTAAATGAGAACATTTTCAAAATGAGAAACATATGGAGTCTTTTAATTGGCTAATTTTTCTTGCAAACGTGTGTGGCTTTTTTTCATCCTAAAACTGATGAAAGGGAAAGGAAAAAGCGCTATCTCGTCAGACATGCATATTGCAGCACAGTGTTGCATACATTTTCATTGTCCTTCCGTAAGGAGTAAAACAGCCCTTCTGTTCCCTGGATTAATAGCACCATTACTGAGAATCCATGTTCAGTATACAAGACCATCCTTCAGGATCCTGTCAGTGAGACACAAACTTCTTCCTGTAGATCTTTTAGTAAATTTGCATCTTGTGCTGAGCAAGTAACGGTGAGCATGTTTTTGTTTTTACTTGTCTACACGTATAATCTTGACTTACTTGCTTCCCCCTAACGCCACACTTGCTGGGGGTGACTGTATAAACTCCTATCTGGGGAGTTATTGTTCTACACATGTCCTGTGTAATCTGCCCAACCCACAGCGCTTTGAATAATTATTCATATTTAATCACCAAACTACAAGTATACATCGTCTGCCGCTTGCTAAGTCATTTTCCATGTTCCATTATCAAAGTTTCAGAGATGGCTGCTCAGGGAAGGGGGACTAAATGGAGAAGCTGAAGTAGTTGGGCTTATAAAAACATAATGGGCTTGTCTGCTTTGATAAACTGAAGACGTGTATAGAATACACACACGGTCACACCCCCACTCACACACACACTGACACACACACACACCACATGGACTTTAAATGAGAAAAGTGCAGAGCATAAAGTAGGTGAAATGAAGTTGCTAAGTATGGTTTCACATTGTAAGCATTCAGGCAAATAAAAAAGGATTCAATCATTAATAGAAGGTAATGCGTCACACAAAATTAAGCGGAGTTTGATTTTTGTCCAAGTGCATCGGCTCTTCGGTTTCTCATTTCTTTTAGCTTTCCATCAAAGGCTCACCTTGCTCCAAAGGTGGTGGTTTCACACCTGAAGCCTTTAACTTGAGAGCTTCTTTTGCAGACATATCACAGCAGGAACCTTTGTTGGTGTCCTGGTCGCTGTCTGCCTGGTCGCTGTCACCATGACCGCTGTCCCTGAGGCTCGCTCGCTCCGGGTCTTTGAATGTTGAACTACTGGATGAACAAACCCCAAAAAAATAATAATATTAAAACACGTGCATGTGAAAAACCAGAAGATTCAGCATGAAGCATACTGATTCCACTCCTTCTATCTTATTATCTAGTAAATTTAACATGAAAGGAGCATGTCAGTCACTTTGAGGTATGTTTTCTGTAAAAAGTGATGTGTGAATTCTATCTTACTTGTTGAAAACCACCCCTGTTCAGGGAAATAAGGGTTTCCCTCTATTAGGGCAAGCTATTTCTCTGAGCAGAGGCCATTCAGTAAACTGTTTAACAGGTATAGCAATAGTTTAAAAGTTTTACTCTGAAATACACTTCAAAATGGCTGAAAATCCCTTTAGGTGTAGTTACTCTTGCTTTAGTGCTGTGTGCAGAATATTGGAGAAACAAAGCTCTGACATGCGGCGATTGGTTATAGATTCCGACTCTTACCTTTGAACAAACTGTTGTCTGCTACCCATATAATTAGGCTCAGTGGGGAAATTGTCCGTCTGTGGAGGAGTGAGAAGAAAGTATGCTGTAAGCTTTACAGAAACCAGGCTCGCTGTAAAACATGAATTCCTTGTGACTTATGATGAATTATGCAGAACAATAAGGCAGAAAACAGATCAGACTATAAAGCAGAGGAAGAAAGCTCTTTATTAACAAGATTTGAGGATTTTGCAAACCATCTAATTAGCCATTAGAGAGTGAAGCACAAAGTTAAGCATAAGGTCTGGCAGACATCGGATAATCAATGAGGGCTGGGACAGTAGTCTTGATGAAAATAGAAAACTCTGCGATTGCTATGTCGAACACTTGGCTAGACATCCATTAACTAGATTACAGTGTGACTTGTACGGAAATTAAAATGCAGTTTGCTCCTTGTTCCTGTTAGGAACTTAACTCACTGAAACTCAACACCTTGGTTTTTTTTTCTGTCCTATTTTCCATATAAACAAATTGGGACTTGTGTGTGGCGACCTGTGCTACGTTTATTTGATATGGGCGTCCAGATCACACATAAGAATCTTTGCCTCATGTAGATCAATAAGCAAATAGGTAGAAATTCAAACATAGATTCTTTAAGATTCCAATATTACAGTGGAACCTCATCTGTGCTGTACAGTCGCATTAAGAATCATTTTGCATTGAAAAACAGGTTTAAACCAACCGTACGACTGGTAAAGTCTCAAGAATGGAAGCCGCTTCGCCTTAAAGACTGAATCAATCATATCGGGTGTGGGGCACTTTATCTTGCTCCCAATCTCCCTCACTCTCTTTAAAAACATGTCAATATTTAGTGTAATGCGGTTTTAAATCATGTTAAAGAAGTTAAAAGGTCACAAAGACCAGACATTTGCAAAAATGCAAGCCCATTATCACAAAAGTTACAATATTAAGAGAGATGATCTACAACTCTTCCTAATATTTTTCCTCTGGTCTCTAGTAGGAATTAATGCCTCGTAAGTTGTTCTCTGGGCAAGAAAATCACTGGTGCACCATTTTCAGGAACTAAAAGTGAGCCACATCACAGCTGTGCTTCGGATGGCATGATTTGGAGTCTTATTTTCTGATATTTGAACATCTATCCTTGGATTGGATAACAGCAATGTAACTCTAACACTGACTTGCAATGCTGATGTTTTGTCACCACAAATAACACAAGCCTGGAGGAGTTCTGCAGTGTGGTGGAGCTGCTAACAGCTAGCTTCTACTAATCAAGACATTACGCTAAACCAACAACAGCCTCCCCCGTCATGAGTCAAGTTGGATGAGTCCATGAATAATAAGTGACAGTGTGATGTAAATCTGTCTGAATTTTCTAATTCTAGAGTTTCATTGTCTCTTATCTATCAAAAACTAATGCAGGAGATAGGTGTAGGAGACTACTTTCATGTTCACTCACATGAAAACTCAGAATGACCCATTATAATCAGAAATAATCATTAAAAATATTTTTTCTGTGTTCTACGCCTTTAAGAAAAGAGTTTACCGGCATAAAAACAATGAGGAGGAGGGTCGGGTAATTGTGGGTTAAGATTATAACAGGAATCCAATCAGTGTCCCTGTTCTGTCAAAGCTGGAATGATTGAAACAAATGTCTTAAAGAAAAACTTCTTCCATGCTGCTGTGGCTGTATTCATCACAGCCACACAAATAATTACACAACATTGTGCACAACGCTCTGCCTCGAATTCATAGCGGTAAAATGTCATGTTTGGTGAGTAATGTGCTGTTGCGCCAGGCTTTTTCACATGCACAGCTTGACTCACAGTCAATAGAGTATTTCAATGTCATCCATGCACTGCAGTGGCTCTGTATGAAAAAGGGTGTGTGAAGGTCAGACGGGCCACCTCGGTACTTTGACCTTCCATGCTTTCGCTAACACCTTTATCTCCTCCTAAACACTTTATTCCAATTCAGCCTTCACCAATATTAAAAGAAAACACTCACAGAATATATCAAAGGCTGGAATCTGACCGTAAAGTAAGAGAAGGAATTTCTTAAATTGTTTGGCAATGAAATGATAACAGATGCTGAAAAGAGATTCAAAAGAGCGAAGAAGAAAGAGAAGAAAAGGAGGCGGACGTATTTTTACTGATGTGCCCCAGCTGTACTTTTATGACCAGAAAACCAACCTTGGGCAGATTTTCAATCAACTCTGCTCTACTTGTACTGAATCCGATCACAAGGAAAGGACATTAACAGAAAATGTTTTTCTGATTGTTACCTTGCCTAATCTTATTTTTGCACCTGTGTACAAATTTCTCTTTTGTGATGCCCTTTTAGAGGTCTACCTTGTATAAAATAACCTAAAGTGACAAGGTTCTACCCTGCAGGAGCTAATTGCACAAGCTGCTTCGGAAATGTCAAAAGGAAATACTCAATCTCACTGGATCTTATTCACTTTCCCTCGATAAAATAAAAAATACTGATAACGTCACACATAAAGCAGCATGCCTCTCACCCTGCACAGGCCAATAAAAAACACATTACGCCACTTCATGAAATCCTTTTTCCTGTCAGTTAAGAGTTCAGGTTGATCTTAAGCTTCCATCTCTTCCTGTCTGACGATACTGCCCAGCCCTTTCGCAACAACGGGCCACTTTCCAATTAATGGGTCGATAACGGGCAGCATGCACTGCTCCGACCTGAGCTAGGCAGAGCCCACAATAAATACCAGATCATTTTAGGGAGATTTACCAGGTATATCCTACAATGCATTCACTTATTAACCACCCCAAAAATGAGAAAAATACAGTTCATGTGTTGCTGCAAAGTTGAATCTTCATGAGTTAACTGAACAGCAGTCTTTAATATTTACAGATATGCAGGCCATATTCAATAAAAGGTTCAAGCCACTATGTCAACTTGCTGTGTGCAGGTATACGCCCAGGCTCTTTTGTTTGGAGTGTGGGTGCATTTTCCAAAAGCACGCTGCTGAAGTGCAGTAACTGATGTGTTATATCTAGTTCATGAAGCAAGGCCGCAAAGGTCACCGAGGCACTGAATACAGCAAGGCTGAGTAAGTGTAAAAAGCTGCACTTTATTCCGTATTCCCATTGAGGCCCTAAGACTGACCGTTCAGACAGCGGGCCGATTGAGACAAATGGGACAAGAATATCGGAGCGCTATTCTACTCTTGGGGCATGCCGGTGGATTCTGGGGCAGTGCTCGCTTCTACATGCTCACACTTGTGTTTGTATCGGTGTGTTTTTGAAATCTTCTGCAGGGATGGTGATGAGGGCAAATAGCCACTTTTGTTTCACACACCACTGGACAGCTCTCTTTTATTCAAACCAACAACAGGACACACACTAACACCACCTATTCCAATAGGTATGACGCATGCATTTCTCCTTCTCTGTCTTCCAGGAGACACACATAACTCTGCTCTATGCACGTGAGTACACGTATTTCCTCAAGTCAATTTGTAGGAGCGATTTCTAATAGACCGTTTCATTGGCAGTAAGCCAAAGAGTGTTCCATTTGAGAAATACTAAATTTTATGGTGCATTTGTGAGATAAAAGGAGGTGCAAAAAGCTCTAAAAGTAGATCAGCAACAGCCAGGTAGAAATAACGAGTAAACAGAGAGAGTTCAGGAGAAATAAAAAAACCTTCGGGAGAGCGAGAATAGAAAAAAAGCTAAAAATAATAAAATATATTAAAAGTAAACAAAAAATGTGGCAAAACAACAAAGTGAGAGGATGATAAAGGGACTAGGGTGGAGTAACAAGACAATCAAAGGGCAAGATTGATTATCTGATGGCTGAGGAGCAATTGTAAGTGATCAGATTTAATTAGTATTGAAACTCTTCCGTGAGATAAGAGACTATTACATCAATGGACTTAAGTGAACTTAAAGCCAACACAATGCCTGCAAAGTATCTTTCTTTATCTCCCAAAACTGCAAGGAAAACGGCTTCAAAGGACTTTTTGACAAGTTAAACACTTCTGCTGATAAAACAAAACAAAAGACCATTTAAAACGTGGCTATGAGTTAGCTATTTAAATGGGAGACTACATGTCAGATTCACAGCCATAGCTAACCCTAAAACTGTGTTGAAATCAAAAAGAGAGCTTCGTTTTGAGGCATCTCAATTGTTTGACCCCTGTTGAATGTGTTGATTCGTTTTCAGAAAACCAAATCAAGGTCATCATAAATAAAGATTCTCAAACCATCAGCTGATTGGTGTGTTTTACACTGGCCTATCTAGTTTCGCTTCCAATTAAGACTTACTACTACTTTGTTTACCTTTTAATGTTCCTCCATTCAGTCCATCCTGGTACTGTGTCACAAGTACTAAATATTTTAGGATGTAATCAAGGATTGAACTTTCACATTCAGTCAGATTCATGGAAGCCAGGACATGTTCTGAAGGGGTTTTGGTTTCAAGTACAGCTTGTTGCATCTCAGAGTCAGCACCTGAGGTAGTCAAACTGTCAGACACGGTTCTGATACTTTCTACTCCTAACAAGCTGGCATGTTCCATAAAAGCAAATCTTACCATTTTGCAAGGATGCAGGAAGTTTGGTCAGAGTGGACGGCGTGTAAATGGGAACTCCGATGGAAGGTTTCAATGTAAAATGTTGTTTCTATAGTAAATGAACTGATTAATTCATGACGTGTGTTTGTAACACAGTCTTTATTATTTGAACAGTCAAAACTAGTGTAAAACCAAGAAATAAACAAAAGAATCCTATGTAGTATGTGTTTCAAGTAAAATCTAAAACTGTGCTCTGTAATATTCTGCAGGTCTCCATTCTATTACATATCAGCAAAACTCAAACACAACCTGGAGCTTAATTTCAAGGGGCTGGGTTGTTGACTAAGGTCTAAAATAGCACTTTAACTGGTATCTCCCAAGTGTGAAAAGGTGCAGCTACACAAATGACACTTGGCATTGCTAAAAATCTAGCATGCATGCTCAGCAAAGCCTTTGGTGCAGTTAGGAAAACACCTGGTCTGCTGGGTTTATACAACAGAACTTTCTTTTTCTCTCTTGT